TGTTGGGGGTGGCAGGTGTTGTGGTGCTGATGGCGGTGGCTTCTTGCCCTAAGCACTGGAAATCTATTGGTTGTCCATCATCAACTCCAGGTGCCTATGTTCTCACAGGTGGGGCTTGTGGCTGTTAGTCTCATGTGTGGGCTTTGGGATGACCTCAGTGGGTACAACTTGGGTGAGGAGGTGACCTCTGGAGTTTCTGGTGATGGTTTTGACCAGGGTGACAATGGCTGGAAAAACATCCGTGCGGATGCCCTCCTCTTCCCTCCAGGCCTCAGTCTGCTCTGTGCTGTGCTCAGCATGGGTGCCCAGTTCCTGACCTTTGGCGCCAGTGAGGTGATGAGTTAATCAGGGGTTTCTCGAGGGGTAGAACTAAGTAGATCCTCTGTTTGGAAAAGGTTTGCCGATCTCTTCTTTTGAAGGTGTGGGGCGGGGGAGACCAAAGGGGTGGGTTGGCTGTAGGGAAGACGAGTGTATTCTATTTTGGGGTTTTTGGACAACAGAATTGCGGGAAATTGCTTTGCTGCAGGTGTTGGGTCTGGAAGAAAGGGTCTGGAAGATTCCTCTGCAATGTAGCAGAAGAAGGGCAGGTGAGACCTAACGCAGGCTTTGTGCTGCTCCTCTACAGGCATGAAATTGTGGTGCTGCTGGGCACCAGGCCATTCCCTCCACGCCGGGTAAGTGTTTGTCCTGACCTGCCATGTCTCTGGCTACATGTCTAGCCACTTCTACTGGCAGATCGGAGTTGAATTTTGGGTGTGGCGCATCATCCTCACCAATGGTCTCTGGAGGAGTCCGTCTCCGACTGCTTTGGCCGTGTCCCATAAGTTTGGTATGTCCCATTTTCATTCAGTGCAATGTAATTTATTCCTGTGAGGCTTCCTCTTCGACACGTGGATTATTGTCCGTGTCCATGTGTTGGGGGAATTTCCTGCTATCTTTCTGTTACTGATTTCTAGTTTGATTCCTATGCGACCAAAGGTCACATGCTGTATGACTTCAATTCTTTTGAATTTGCTGAAATTTGTTTTATGACCCAGGACATAGTCTATCTTTGTGAATGCCCCAGGTGCACTTGAAAAGAATGAGTATTCTGCTGTTCTTGGGTGGAGTGGTTCTATAAATATCAATTAGGTCCTTTTGAATGACAGTGTTGTTCTATATCCTTGCTGGTTTTCTCACTAGTAATTCTACTGTTGAGACAGTGGTATTAAAAGTCCTCAGGTACAATTGTGGATTGGTCTGTTTCTCTTTTTCAGTTCTATCAACTTTGCTTCATGTATATTAGAATTCTGGTGTTTGGTCCATACTCATTTAGGACCGCTATGCTTTCTTGGTGGATAAATCCTTTTACCAGTATGTGACGTCCTTCTCTATCCTTCGCAATTTTCATTGCTCTGAAGTTTACTTCACCTGATATTAACATAGCCATTCCTGCTTTCTACTGACTGATGTCTGCATAGTGTACCTTTATCCTTTTACTTTCAATCTACACATATCTTTATATCTGAAGTGAGTTTCTTATCTACAGTATCTAGTTGCATTGTGCTGTTTTCAAGTGACCATAAGTTGGAAGAGCCAAAGTTGGACAGAGCCACCCAGGTGCCCCTGGAAAGTTTATTTTAAAAATAAACTTGGATCTTACACATAACTTCCTCATGAATCTCCTAAATTCCAAAAAGGGAAACACAATTGTTCGCGTTGCATTTGTCCTTTTGACATGGAGAGGGCTATTTTCAGACTGCACAGGACAGCAGAACAGTCTGGGCTTTGTGTTAACTTCACAAAGCACATGGAGGCCTCTGACATTGTCATCTGGAGTCCCCGTATGTCCACACCATAGGACCTGAAGCATAATGCTGCCCTTTTACATTCCTAGAGTCCACCCTCAGGTTTATGGTTTGCTTTTATGACATATTTATCAGATCTGTGATGTTGGGTTTCTGGACGTCATTACTAAGGAGAAATATGACTTTTGCTTACCAAATGGCTCCAGGAATACATCGCAGAGTAAAGGGGGGAGGGCTGTCTAAGATGAGGTTATTGTTAGAATATTATCTGTATTGAAGAGTCCTCGACATCATGGTAATCTCGGAGTGACTATCACCAACTCCCACTTATCCACTGCAGTGAGGCAGTAGCCTTAGCAGATAGGAAAACAACTTATAAAGAAAAACTGCCTGAGTGGCTTAGTCGGTTAAGCGTCCAACTTCGGCTCAGGTCATGATCTTGTGGTTTGTGAGTTTGAGCCCTGAGTCAGGCTTTGTGCTGACAGCTCAGAGCCTGGAACCTTCCTCGGATTCTGTCTCCCTCTCTTTCTGTCCTTCCTCCATTCACACTCTGTTTCTTGCTCTCAAAAATAAATATTAAAATTGTTTATTAAATTTTTTAAAATATTTCATTTATTTTTGACAGAAAGAGGGAGAGAGAGAGAGAGAGAGAGAGAGAGAAAGAGAAGGAGAGGGACAGAAAGAGAGTGAGACACAGGATCCGAAGACAGGCTTCAGGCTCTGAGCTAGCTGTCAGCCCAGAGCCTGATGCAGGGCTCAAACCCACGAACTGCGAGATCATGACCTGAGCCAAAGCCGGATGCTTAACCGACTGAGCCACCCAGGCGCCCCCCAATTTTTTTAATTAAAAAGAAAAAGAGCTAAAATAATTATGTATTGGAGGTGTAGACATGAAATAGAAATTCAAGAAAAAGACCTACATTCAAATGGGAATTGAACCCTTAACGAAGGTAGCATTTCAAAATAGCTGAGACAAGGCTGTTTTGTGCTGAGAGATGATGGGGGAGGGAAGAGCCAGACCTTTATCTCCAGAGGTCCTTACCTCACAGGAAATTCCACGTGGACCCAAGATTTTATCATAAAAGGCGGAGCCAAAATGTACAAAATTCAGAAGCTATAAAGTAAAAATGTAGTAATCTTCACTGGGTAGTAACGCAAACTCAAGAGACAAATGACCAGTCTGGAAGGAATTTGAAGGATGTCTACATCACGTCTGACACACAAAGGGAGAATAGCTTCAATGAACACAGAACTTTCGCAAAGGGACAAAGGGAAAGATGAGCAGCGCCTGGGTGGCTCAGTCAGTTAAGCCTCCGACTTCGGCTCAGGTCATGATCTCACGGTTCATGAGTTTGAGCCCCATGTTGGGCTCTATGCTGACAGCTAGCTCAGAGCCTGGAGCCTGCTTCAGATTCTGTGTCTCCCTCTCTCTCTGACCCTCCTCTGCTCACGCTGTCTCTCTCTCAGAAGTAAATAAAACATTAAAAAACATTAAAAAAAACAAAACAAAAAACCCCAGAAAGACGAAGAGAATGGAATGCGAGAGACAGTTAACACAGGGAAAGATGCCTAAACTAAGTGTCAGTCACTTCTCACCCACAAGGCTGAAAAAAGTGAAAATTCCAGAGGTGAGACATCAAGGCCACACGGACCGGGCACCTTCCCGAGGCTGGTGTGCCATCTTTCATCCGTGACCCTCCTCCATGCGCTCCCAGGATGGCAGCTGCACCTCCAGGATCTGTGAGAAGAAGGGGTGGGGGTGGGGGGCTGGGCAGTCAGGGAAAAGGCAAAAGGTTTCTGCTCCAGGGTCCCCTTCCTCCCAATCCTTGAACAAGTTTTCATGGAAGCCCAGTTCGGTCTATAGCTCATTTGCTAGCTGCTCAGGGGTTACTTTTAACTTTTCTAAAATAAAAAAAAAATGTTTTTAAATTTATTTTTGAGAGACAGAGAGAGACAGCGTGAGCAGGGGAGGGTCAGAGAGAGAGAGAGAGAGACACAGAATCTGAAGCAGGCTCCAGGCTCTGAGCTGGCTGTCAGCACAGAGCCCCACGAAGGGCTCAAATCCACGACTGTGAGATCATGACCTGAGCTGAAGTCAGCGCTTAACTGACTGAGCCACCCCAGGCGTCCCTACTTTTAACTTTTCCTCGTAGAAAATGTGTGACTCCTAAGCTCACTTCTTATGGTTCTTCACACAGTGAACACATCCATTTGACCAGCATCCGGCTCAAGGAACAGAATGGGCACAGCCTCCTTACAAGTCCTCACGTGCTTCCTTGGGTCACTAGAGAAGGTATTCTTTTTAAATTTATTCTGAGAGAGAGAGAGAGAGAGAGGGAGTGAGTGAGAGCACGCACATGTGGGTATGGGGAGGGGCAGAAAGAGAGAGAGAGAGAGGAAGAGAGAGAGAGAGAGTCCCAAGCAGGCTCCGGCTGTCATCAAGAGTCCTGGCTCAAACTCACGAACTGTGAGTTCATGACCTGAGCCAAAACCAAGAGTTGGATGCTTAACTCAAGCACCACCCAAGCTCCCCTAGCAGGTATTTTTAATGGGTACATTCTCAGTGGGACCAAAATAGGGTTCATTAAAAAAGAGAAGGAGAATATAAGTAACCAGCTGCCTGTCACACCCATCATTTTATAAATTTACCCAAAGGCCACTTTTACCCTTCGATCTTCTCCCCAAAACTTTCATTCTCAGTCCAAGACATGTTCTGGTTCTTTAAGAGAGGACAGCTGGCATTTACATGTGCTGTGGCCCTGAAGCAGGGACTTTCTGCAGCAGCAGACTCGCAGGTGAATGCAGGGAGAGGCACCGTGGGAGGGTGACCCCGTCCCCGAGTGTGCAAAGGTCTGGGAATATGGAGACCTCCCACAGAAGCATCAGCGACCCCATCCCATGAGTGGGAGTAATATGGGGGTAAGTTTGCAATTCTGCCTGTATCTTAAAAAAATTTTTTTAATGTTTATTTTTGAGACACACAGACAGAATGTGAGCGGGGGAGGGGCAGTGAGAGAGGGAGACACAGCATCCAAAGCAGGCTCCAGGCTCTGAGCTGTCAGCACAGAGCCAGACGCGGGGCTCAAGCTCACAGTCTGCGAGATAATGCCCTGAGCCAAAGTTGGACATTTAACCGACTGACCCACCCAGGTACCCCCTGCCTGTATCTTTTAGAAGTGAGAAAACCCCAAAATAAATAAATGTGGCCAAATCTTAGAACAGAGGTCAGAATTTATTCAGTAATACAGTATCTGTATTAGAGAGAACATGTTATGAATACAGGCAATTTTTACGGGGGGCGAGGTACAGGGGCGGGGCTCCCGTCCTACTAAACACTGGAACATTCCTCTTACAGAGAATCCTGATTTGGGGGGGCATCTGCCAGCATTTTAGTACCACACGGAATCAGCTCATTCACAAGGAACAGGAACTCTACAGATGCAATAAATGTGAGGGCTTTCAGGGAAGCAGAGCTCATTCAACGTCAGAGAATTCACACTGGAGAAAAACCACATGCATATAATGGCTGTGAAAATGCTTTGACGGTGCTCAGAGCTAATTAGACATCTGGGATCTCAGAGCAGGGAGGTGCTCTGTGGGCATAATTGGTGAGGGAGAGCCTTCAGCCCGGGTTCCAGCCTTAGACAACGTCAGCTAACTTAGTGGGGACATGAGCCAGTCACGTGCAATGACTAGGGCAAAGCTTGGAGCGTATTGAACACAAGATCACTCATCCTCGGGAGAAGCCGGTGAGTATAATCAATGTGGAAAATCGCTTGGGGATCGTGCAGCCTTTTCTCGTCACTGGAGAATTCACGGGAAAGACACTCTCGTGTCGCACAGACTGTGGGAGAGTGTTTAATCTGTAATCAGGCTAATTCATACTGAAGAAAAAAACCTTGATTACCAAGAGAGAAGAAAAGCCTTTGGTTCTCTTCCTTATTGGATTCAGAGAAACCCTTGCAATGTATGGGACAACTTGGGGGAGGGGGGAGGAGCCAGGGCTTACTAAGTATATCACATTGAAGCAGCAATCACATCAAAGGAGGAGGTTAAACTTTTTGCTTCATCCACCCTAGCACTTTCATTCTTTTCTCTATGTCAGGAATTTTGTTTTGTTTTGCTTTTGTCTTTAGTGACTTATCTTCCTAATAGTATCATGGCTTTTATATGCTTGGCTTATAATTCTACAAGGTATTCTATACACTTCTGCAAAATGAAGTAACCCAGCAGGCAAACAAAAGGGTTGGCTTGGTTTGGGCCCCTGGGCAGGGAGGACCCCTGCAACACGCAGAGGGCACGAGGCTTAGTGGCAGAATCTGCTGGTCACCAATTCGAATGTCATTGCAACATATCTGTGTTTGCGCCCCACTCATTTGATGGCCTTCCAGGGGCCAATCTTTACTACTGATGACCTGTGGGTGACTTCTCTCAAGTTCTGACTGTGGGAGGAGGGTGCCAGTGTATCTTTGTTGTGTGTCTGAAACCGGAAATCGAAAGAGGAAGGCCAAGAGTTCTTGAGTTTAACTTCTCATTTCATGAGGGAAGGAAGGACCACACATTTTCTGTGGTGTTACTGAAGAAGCACGCCCCGCCCCCGTCCCTGTCCCCACAGCTTGATCAGGGCTGGGGCTTCATCTAGTCCTTAGCAGCCCACTGCTGCCTTTCTCCTGGGCTAACCCGGATTATCCCCAGACGAGGCTTCAGTGTTTCCTAAAGACATTGCCTTCCGCTTTCTTTACTCTCCAGCTGAGGCAGAAGAGATTCAGACCTTGTGCATTTCTGGCTCCTGGCTTTGCTGAGAAGACAGGAAGAAGTGGTGGAGAAAAAGGGACAGGTGGAGAAGAGAGAGTGAAGAGTGTGGTGGTTAGGGGGGCGCCTGCACAGAGGGCGAACGGCCACAATTCAGGCCACCTTGTTCCTCAGAGGATCTAAAATGCCTCTAGGAGTAGCTGGAGGGTTCACTAAAGCCTAGTTTCCCCGGTTTAGCTCCAGTTGCCATAGCCCCTCCCAGCTAGTGCCCGGCACTTAGAAAACCCTGCTGTGCACCATGGTCTCCTGCAGAAGCCATCTGACCCTCCACCATCTGCCCGTTCCAGCTCGCTGCTCCGTGTGCTTTCCATGGCTTCCTGGCCCATGCTTAGGCTCTCCCCCTCCCCCTCCACTGAACTTGTTCATCCACAAATTCATCACTGAGCCCCATTTTAGAAGACTCGTCTCCATGTATCTAGAACTTTCCTGAGTCTATCTTTCCTCATTTGTGTCCAACAGGCCCTGGGATTTGGGACGAAGTGCTGGAACTGCTCTGTAGGCTGTGAGAAATCTTGACCTGTATTTCCTACCATGGAAATTAAGATTTCCACTGGCTAAGTTTGGGGTAGGTTTCCATTTGTATCTCAACTATGGGGCTCTAAGGAGTTGATGATGGGCAGGTTCAGAAGAATGCCATATTGGTTAAGAATGCCTTAGTTTCAAATAGCAGAAATCTGCTTAGAAAATAAGGGCATCTAATTAATATATCAATAAGACTGGAAATTGGTGGTTCCAGGATAGGTATAGTGGCTCAACGATATCATCAGGGACCCAGGCTCTGTCTGTCCTCTAGGCCAACCTTGGTATGTTGGCTTTTTCCTTGGGTCTGGTTGCCTCTAGGTCTCAAGATGGTGGCTACAGTCTTAAATATCATGTCCTCCGACATCCATGTTCAAAGCCGGATGGAGGGACAGGCCTCCTCCCTTTAATCAAAAAGCAAAGCTCTTCCCAGAAGGTTCTCGAGCCACTTTGTTATAATTTGTATTCTTAGGACCAGGTCACATGCCCACTTCAAAGCCACCTGACAGCCAAGGGAATAAACAGGCTTGCTGCCATGACACCCATGGCCAGGCTGGGCCCCGGGACTGGCTTCCTCCTCGGCCTCTTACAGGCCTCAGCTCTGCTCTCGCCATTCCCTCCTTTCTCCCCTTGCCAGTAAAAGGCTCACGGTTCCCTCCTCGCTCAGTATGTTCTCTCACTTCATGGCCTGTTTCTCTTCTATCTCCTGAGTTTCTTCTTCAGTTTAATCCTGGCCAGCAGACTGGTCCATCCGGGCCCTACTGGCCCTCACGACATCCTGTCATGCGCTGTGCCGCTGTCTGATTTTTTGGTTCAAATGGCCTCAAAGGGGAATCTGACTGGTCTGACTGGCATCCCTCGAATTTTTGAGCCAGCCAGGGGACTTCAAAAGTGATTGGGCAGCTCTACTGGGTCCTGGTCCTCCTGGGGGGAGGGAGGGGGGAGGACGCAGGGTCATGTGGTACAACACAGCCCCCAGCGGCAGCATCCCTGCAGTAGGGGCTTGGGGCAAGGCACGTTCTGTGGCAACAAAGAGCACGGATCAGATTAAGTCACTCTGTGAAGAGAGAGGCCACCGGGAGAACACGGAAGCACCGGACACATGAGTGTAAAAGCCGTTTTGGGCATCTCAGCCCCATTTCAGCAGATGCCCCATGAAGTGGAGGAAGCCAGCTGGCACATAGAACCAAGGCCCTGAACTCTGGCCACAGTCCAACCATCTTAGCCAAATCCAGCCCCTGGGCCACTCCAGCTGAGGCCCAGACACGGCGCAGCAGACCTAACTCGTTCCTGTTCCACTCGACCCACTTCCCTGACTTGCAGGATCGCGAGCAGAATCATAGATTTCTGCATCTGCCGTGACTTGAGCGGCTCCCCGAGTTGCCACAACAGAAATTCCAGTGGCTGCTGGCAGGAAGCGGGAGGTCTCTCATGAACGTGACCATCACCGGCATCGGGAGGTTCGGTGCCTACTAGACTTGGTCTCTTAGAAACTATTTTGTAGCTATGACAGGCTGCAGAAGGGATTGTGGAAGGAGGCCACTTTGACGCAGCCACACAACAGAGGCAGAAAGTGGGCTGGCAATTCCGGCGACGCAAGGAACAATCCCGCGATGGGCCACACGAAACCTTCCAGCACTGAGCCCCTGCGCCTCCGCTTGGCAGCTGCATGCTGTTGGGTGAGTTATTTAACCCAAGTTCCTTTAATCATTCTAGCACCAGGACAGGAGCATCCTATTTTCCAGGGCTGTAGGGGGGGGTCATGAGATGGGCCTGAAGCCCTTGGCAGCATGGCTGCTGCTACGGTGAGAGCATCACACACGGGCAGAGAGGCTCAGGGCCCCAATGGGGAGAACCGGTGCTGAGCGAGCAACCGAGGGCCTGGGTTGGCCTTTCTAGAAGCAGGGCTCTATGGGTGTCCTGCACAGGGTGGGAGGCAGCAGGGAAAGGGGGTGCCTTTATATATCACGAAGCCCTTTACGGCTTTCCTTCCAGACCTGATTTCTTGAGCCGTTTTCTAGAAGCTTCTGGAGCAGCCTTGCCAGTTGGCTAGGAGTGCCGAGCTCAGAGGCTGCCCCTCCAGCGCCCTGTTCCCCCAACGCCTTCACTTGATTAGCCATTTCCACGCCTTCTACCTGTCTGTACGAATTTCTATTCAGTGGGGTGTTGGGATGGCCATCAGGGGAGCACTGTGAGAGAGTATTCCAGAGACCCACTGTAAATACTGAAAATGACTTTCCAAGCTTCCAAGCCTGGAGCAGAGACCCCTGGGGTCAGCTGCACTCCTGCCCAGAGATCATTGCGTGAGCCCAGAGGCCCTCGGCAAGCAGATAAAGAGGCAGCTGCCAAGGGCCCTAGCTTTCTTTTGCCTTCTCTCCTTAACCCTCAGGGACATGCTCGCATCTCCACCGGCTTCAGGGTTCAGCAGTCTAGAAGCAGCCCCCAGCTCCCAGGAGGCGTGGGTCCCGGGGCGCTGCCAGCATCGGGACTAGCTCTCACGATCTGGCCAACACCATTTCTAACTTATTAGCTTTAAAAGAAAGCAGAGACCACCTCCACAGCTATGCAAAACCCTGCATACATGAGGTTTGTCCCTTGTTCACGGGGGAGACGGGGACTCTGTGGATAACGAAAGGCAAGGGGCGCCGTATGCGTTCTGTCCTCAGAACCCAGGCCTTTGCCATACGCCAAACAGGGCTGGGGGACAGGGACGGGTACTTCAGGTCGGTCACCAACACCCGTTCTCCCCGTTACCTCCGTGAACTCCCTGGCTGCCGGTAACTACGGGAGCACCCCCTGCTCCACGCCAGGTGCTAAGCCAGGCACTGTGAACACAGAGATGCTTCAGACATAGGCCCTGCCCTCCAAGAGCCTCAAGTTCATGGGAAGGGTGGTCCCTACATCAGCCAGGACGTGCGTGGACAGCCCTGCAACAGTACCTATCCCTTGCTTGCTCCCTGCCTCGCCCTCCCCAACGGCACCGCCAGGCGGCAGCTGACACAGTGGGGAGGAGGTTGTTGCCAGCCTCTGGTATCAGGGCGAATCTGGCGAGGCTGCCTGGTGTTGGGGGGGGGGTGGGTCAGGGGGAAGGGGTGGCAGCAAGGACGAGATCACCTTCCTCCTTCATGAGCCGGAAGGCACGGCGGGCAGCCGTCCGGGAGAAGGCAGGCCCCGTCTTCAGTCACAGGCACGTCTCCGGCCGCAGCTGCGCTGAAGCGCTTGTCCTTCCGCCTGGACCCGCGGTGTCCGCAGCCACGGCCAGCCTCCACCCCAAGTCCTGCAGCGCTCGGAGGAGCCACGGAGAATACCGAGGATGGGACGAGCTTCTTCCTCACAGAGCCTCCTCAAGTCTGGTTGAGAAGGAGAAGGCGGAGAGAGGTCATGAAGACCTAGAACATGGCGTGAGTGCTGGCCAGGGGGCCTTGTGGCCGGGACGTCTCATGGAAGGCCTGCGGAGCCCCGGGAAGGCTTCAGGGAAGGGGCGGGCTTTGGGCCCCGCCAGGAGGGTGGGCAAATTTGGAGCAGTGGTGGGCCCGTCTTCCAGGGGGACCTGTGACACGGGCAGTGACGGCAGGCATTCAGAACACAGCTGTGGCTCTTCCTGATGAAAGAAAGGCTTCAACCTGCAATGCCTTCCCCTCCCCCACTCCCCCACCCCTGGAGCTGTCACCAGTGGTGGCGGGCGGGGCCTGGTGCGTTGGCGCAGTCACAGTGTGTCGTTTCTTGGGAATGGGGACTTGGTGGGGTTTTCTGTTTGTTTGGTTTTTTTCTTTTTAAGTTTATTTTGAGAGAGACAGCATGAGTGGGGCAGGGACAGAGAAGCCCAAGCGGGCTCCTCACTGTCAGCACGGAGCCCAACACGGGGCTCTCACAAAACGGTGAACTCACGACCTAAGCTGAAACCAAGAATCAAGACACTTAACCGACTGAGCCACCCAGGCGCCCGCCCCATGGAAATGGGGACTTGTGACAGTTTCATTTCCTATGGTGTCATCACAGTGTGAGGCCAGGACTGAGGACATCCTGTTGACACCAACACTCAGCCTGCTGACCAGAACAGAACCACGGGGCAACCCTCGAAGGGGCCGATCCTGTTGACACCAACACTCAGCCTGCTGACCAGAACAGAACCACGGGGCAACCCTCGAAGGGGCCGGAGGGGGGGCTGCGGGCTGCTCCTTAGAGACCAGGATCGGGAGACTTTATGCTGATAAAGGCACCACTTTGGGCAACTACAGACTCGAAGCCCAAACCTCGCTCTGCTGGGGAAGATACATGTGGCCGCACATCTGGGCAGAATTCTGGTAGGATAGCAAAGAATGCATACAGAGGAAACTTTTGAGTATTATGAGTAAGAGAAAATTTCCATTCGTTTCCTAATCCATCCTAGGGAGAGGCCTTGTGAATGGCAGCGACGGAGGAAAACCCTCAGGAGGTGGCAAGCTGCTCCCAGAGATGAGAAAGTCACAGGGGAGCGGCACACGGGGCACGGAGAGCCCAAGCCACGTCAGCCCAAACCTCCCGAGTGCCACACGGGAGAAACCGACCTCTTCTGTGAGCCGAGGAGCGATGCTCTGAGGAAGCACAGACCTCACCCTACAGCAGATGGGCCATTCAGGAGCTAAAGCTTTAAAATGCAATGAATCAAAGGCCGTGATCATCTGAGGAGAAACCAGCCCTTATTCACCCCCTAAGATCCTAACTGCGGAGATGGCTAGTGCTCCTGGGAATGAGGGAACTCCCGGGGGCCCGCAGGGGGCTGCCGCGCAGAAGACGTTTGTATCAGAGAAAAGCACCATGAAAGGAACCTAGAGGGGCGTCTGGGGGGCTCAGTAGGTTGAGCTTCTGACTTCAGCTCAGGTCATGATCTCACGGTTTGGGGTTTCGAGCCCCGCATCGGGCTCTGTGCTGACAGCTCAGAGCCTGGAGCCTGCTTCGGATTCTGTGTCTCCCTCTCTCTCTGCTTCTTCCCTGCTTGTGCTCTTTCTCCAAAATAAATAAGTAGTACAGACTGTCTGTAAGGGATGCAGACGCTCTACAGGAGTGTTTGCTCAGGACTGTCATGCCATGTATTGTCCTTGGGGTCCACAGCACTGAGCGGAAGAGAAAAACCAAGGCTCTGGGGTTCCGTGTTTCTGGGCCTTTCCACGGGGCTACGGTATTTCTTCATCGCCCCTCCTCCTTCCTTGTCAAGTGTGGTGTCACCTTTTCTGTTCTTGCTGTGGCCTCACGAGGCTGTGGCAGGTCCCCGTGCCTTCACATATGCCCCACCTGTCCCGGTGTTGTCCCGCACGCAGGAGACCACTCGTCTGCTGGTGACAGCTGTGACATGTTCCACCACTGGAGAACGCTCCCCAGAGGCGCTGCTGTGACTGGTCATCCACTCAACAGGCACTCTCTCCACATCTCTGTGCCGTGCCTGGTGCTATTATCCGTGCTGCGGACAAAGGACAGGTGGGGGAGGAGGCATCAGTGACAAGTGGTGTGGGTGACCTCAGGACAATGGTAGCACCTCTGAGACCACAGGACAGTCTGTGTTCCCTGGCTTCAGGAGGGGTCTTGGGAGAGCGTGCTGGGGACAGATGGAGGGAGGCAGAGGTCTGACCTCACGACTGTCTGCTGCCCGTCAGGCTAGCACACAAGTTCTCTGAGCAACCCTGCAAGCCTGGTACCCAACAGCTCCGCCCTGTAAATAAGGAAACTGAGGCACAGGCACAGCTAGGAAGTGGCAGAGCCAGGGCTTGACGCTAGGGGTGTTCCACTCCTCAGGCCTCTGTCTCCCCACCGCCACAGGCAGACAACTGCCCTTCAGCACTGCAGCTTCCTCGGGCTGCGTTTCCAGAGGCACAGGGGACAGCAAGAGGCACCTGGTGACCTGGGGAGAGGGGATGGAAGGTGGGGCGTGGACTGGCTTCTGCAGGCTCCACTTCAGGGAATAGGGACAGGCACACTCGCTCACCCCTTCTTCCATTCAGCATATCTGTATGGAACCCCGCGGAGCTCTGGGTGCTGGGGATGTGAGTGAGATTCACATGGCCTTGCCCTCACGGGGCTTCCATTCTGGGGGGTGGCAGATGATCCAGCAGGCTATGGGTTATGCGGAAGCACAGTGGACAGTCACGTAGCCCAGACTCGCAGGGCTGAGAGTGACTTCTGGGAAGGGGTAACGTGCCGGCTAAGACCCAAAGAGGAAGCACCAGCCTGGGGTGCAGAGAGGACGTGTGGGAAGGTGTGCTGTGTGAGGCGCAGAGGGAAAGGGGCACCAAGATGGCCAGTGCAAGGTGACAGTGCGGGCGGGGAGGTGGGTGGTTCAGAATGGGCCCCAAGAAAGCCGGGAAACTGTGACCCTTAAGCCTGGAGATGACCCCAGCAGGCTGGAGGTTCAGCCCCTCCCTGGGAAGCCCCAGGCTGCAACAGCGAGGCGAGAGCTGTCCAAGGATTCAGGCAGTGATTTCTGTCTTCCCCCTCGTGAACCAACAAGGTTTCCAAGAAATGCACTGAGCAGGACTGGAGCTGGGAGCCTCTGGTTCAGGCCCCAAGCAGGAAGCGTCGGATGTGCATGAGCAAGCATCCCCCTCTTGCGGCTGAGAGAGGTATTGCCACCGTGTTCGCATACCGGTTGCGGGGGTGGGGGGGGTGGGGGGGTGGGGGGGAGGAGGGGGACGTCTCAGTCCCAACTTGAAAGGCCGCGGTCCCTGCTGCCCTGCTGGAGGTGGGTGTGGACCCCAGGGGGTTCCCCGCCTGTGAGACATCTGAACACTGGACAAAATGTATATGGAGGCTTAGGAACAAGTGCTAGAAGGACAGTCAATGTTGCAGATGACTTATTTTTTTTTTTCATTTTGTGCAGACGTGTGTAAAGTTTTCTGTCGCAGGGGCGTCTGTCAGTTGAGCGTCTGACTTGGGCTCGGGTCATGATCTCAGGGTTTGTATGTTTGAGCCCCGTGTCAGGCTCTGTGCTGACAGCTCAGAGCCTGGAGCCTGCTTCAGATTCTATGTCTGCCTCTCTCTCCGCCCCTCGCCCGATCACTCTCTCTCAAAAATAAACATTAAAAAATAAAAATTAAATAAAAATAAAAATTTCCTGCTATAGACATGTACTACATTTGTTTATAAGTAAGTGTATTACCTTTTTTTTAAGGCAGAATGACAGAAAAGTGGCCCAAGAGGGGACTAAAGTGGAGACCGGGTGGCTGAGGTGGCAGTGGAACAGCTTGGTGATGAGCCGCTGCCCAGGCCAGCTCCCTGTGCCCTTCCATGCCTGGGGAGCACGAACCCGGCCAGCTGCAGGGCCACACCGAGGCCCGTGTCTGGGGACAGGGCCTCCTGAAGGAGTCTTCCCTGATGTCCAGCCTGCCAGGTTGAGTGACCTCGAGTGGTCGGGGACCCTCTCCCATGTGGGCTGATGCCGAATGAGGGCTGGGTCTGCCCAGAAACGGTGAGCTCGCGTGTTCCCTGTACATGGGGTCTGTGTCTGCACGTTTCTGACTCGGAACAAAGCACTCACCTGGCCTCCAGTTTGGGTCACTTTCATCACTGTCATGGCTGCTACTTCTCTCTCCTGCTTGAAACTCTTCTCTTGGGCAGGGCAGCTGCTTGGCCTCCCATCTGGAGGTTCCCTAATGCTGATCTAAGGTACTGGAGCATTCTGAGGCGTCTCCCAGCTCTGGTACCTGTGAAGAGTCACCGTGGGATCTTCTTCCAGCAAGTTCCTGACCTGAGCCGAACACCTCGTCCTTACTCTTCGGGCCACCATCTGTGATCATATGTGGAAAATCCAAATATTACCTGTTTGCTCCGCAAAGAAAGGCCATGGAAGTAAAATGCACATCTGCCAGGGGGATGGACTGAATAAATGATGACGTATAATAGAAATTTACTAACCATACATTTTTTTCTTCCAACTTTTTATTTAAATTCATACTTTATATTTTAAATTTAAATTTTTCTTTAATGTTTATTTACTTAACATTTATTTACTTTTGAGAGACAGAGTGAGAGGGGACGAGGGGCAGAGAGAGAAGGAGACACAGGATCTTAAGCAGGCTCCAGGCTCTGAGCAAACGTTCAGCACAGAGCCTGAATGCGAGGCTTGAACCCACGAACCGTGAGATCACGACCTGAGCTGAAGTCGGGCACTCAAGCGACTGAGCCATCCAGGCGCCCTAATGTTTATTTTTGAGAGATAGAGCCCAAAGAGGGAGGGACAGAGAGAGAGGGAGACACAGAATCCGAAGCAGGCTCTCTGTCAGCAGAGAGCCCAATGCGGGGCTTGAACCCGTGAACTGCGAGATCATGACTGAGCCGAAATTGGATGCTTAACCGACTGAGCCACCCAGGTGCCCCTATATTTTTCATTTTTTTATGTTTTATTTTTGAGAGAGAGCATGAGCAGGGGAGGAATAGAGAGGGGAACAGGGGATTCAAAGGGGGCTCTATGCTGACAGCAGAGAGCCCTATATGGGGCTCGAACTCACGAATCACGTAAGATCATAAACTGGGCCAAAGTTGGATGCTCAGCTTACGGAGCCACCTAGGGGCCCCAATCATGCATTTTTTCATGCATGGTAATGAGGGGTGCATGGAGGGCTCAGTTGGTTAAGCGTCCGACTTTGGCTCAGGGCATGATCTCTCCTGGAGATGCTGGTCTCATCTGAGGTCTAGGGGTCTCTGGTGCAAGCAGGTGATAGCCATTAGATGCCAGACCCTAGAAAGGTCCCAAGGGTCAGGGAGGAGTCGCTGGGGTGGCCAAGGAGGCTGGGAGGTCACCTGGGGACACACAGCAGCAGCTGGACTTACCAACCAGTCCAGAAGCATTTCAATACTTTAACAACCCATCCATCCATTCCAGTGGGCACCAGATGAATGTCATGCTGGCGTCTGGCCTCCCCTAATTCTGTGTCCCACAGATCCCAATGGTGACAGGAGACTCTAGAAGCTGTCCAGTGTGTCACTTATTTCAGTGTGGGAGCGTTTCAATCAAACCACACTTCCACAGGAGGGGGTATGATGTTCTCCTGATGTGGGCATCCAGGAACATGTCCAAATCTGTAAAGTCTGCTCTTGGTTTCTCAGACTCAGGCAAAGATCAGGGGGCGCTGCTGATCTAAGGCAGCAGCCCCCTAGCAGTGGCACTTGGCTTTGCAATGAGCCCTTACAGGCCCATTACAAAGCAGTGTATTGAATTCGGAGGATTCAGGGCAAACGAACAGTGATGTAATGACTGTTCTCTGAAGTAAGAGACAGGAGTGTGTCCAGTCCCTCCACCCTGCCTACTCCTCCTTCGGGCTGGGATGGATGCTTTGTTGGATCGTTCTCTTTGATTCCCAACTGCCTGCCTTTCCCCGGGGCATGCTTCCATCTGTATACCCAGGGTGGCTGGGTCTCCCGGGTTCCCTTCAAATGTGGAGTAGAGGATACGTGACGAAAAGAAGAAAGGTGTGATTACAGTCAGTAAAGGTCCCCGTGAGCCACACCATGGAGCGCGGTGTAGCTACAAAGCTCCCATGCCAGAATTCAAAACAGCCCGATAGTGTGTCCAACGTAACTCTTCAGGGACCGAAGGCCACTCAGCAGTGGCTGGGGCGCTGGTGGATGACCTGAGTCTCTGCTGTGCTCCAATGACCTTACTGAGTTCTGGACTTAAGGTCTCAGGCCAGTTTGATGATCACACTCAACTCCCAGCACAGGGCCATACGCTGTATGTCCCATCTTGCTTTTTTAACACAGGAGTGCCCAGAAAAAAGGGTTGAAGACCCTGACCTGCTCCCTAGGGCATGCCTCGTCCTGCCGCCGGTGTGGAGCTCCCAAGATCTGTACTCGAACTGTGGCTCAAGTGGCTGAAGCTGGTGACATGTGGTGATTCCTGCGGGGGTGGATTCGAGCAGGGGTGGGAAGCCGCCTCCCTCCCAGCAAACTTCTTGTCCTGGAGACCAGTATGAATATTGGGAGCTCTAGAGGCGATCAAGGTAGTTACGTGCTTTTTTTTGTTTCTAAGAGAATGTCTTGTTAGAGCTTTCCTGCTGGTGTATTTTTTATTTATTTTTTATTTTTTAAATGTTTTATTTATTTTGGAGAGAGAGATAGAGACAGCGTGAGCAGGGGAGGGTCAGAGAGAGAGGGAGACACAGAATCCAAAACAGGCTCCAGGCTCTGAGCTGGCTGTCAGCACAGGCCCGACGCGGGGCTTGAACCCACGAACCGTGAGATCATGACCTGAGCCGAGGTCAGTCGCTTAAACAACACCCAGGCGCCCCTGGCCAGTGTATTTTTTAAAAAAGATCTTATTCAAGTAATCTCCATGCCTAATGTAGGGCTCGAACTTACAATGCTGAGATCAAGAGCCACATGCTCTTCTGACTGAGCCAGCCAGTCGCCCCTTCCCCCCAGTGTATTTCTTTAAAAACTAGTCTTTCCTGACCACAGATACCCGTTCACTGCAAAAAATGAAATGTTACATACTTAATAAAAACGTTCAAAGAGAAAGCCCTTCATAATCTTATTTCTCAGAGATCATGTACATTTTTAAATTTTTATCTTATTAAAAAGAAAGTCCCCCAGCTGTACCAAGGTATAGTTGAGAATTTAAAAAATGTATACATGTAAGGTGCAGAACTTGAGTGATTTTGATTCAAGGTGGTTTTAAGATTATTTATTTTGAGAGAGTGTGAGAGAGAGACAAAAAGGCAGGTGGGGCAGGGAGAGAGAGAGGGGCAAAGAGAATCCCAAGCAGGCTTCGAGCTATCAGCATGGAGCCTGATTTGGGGCTCAATCGCATGAACCTTGAGATATGACCTAAGCCGAAATGAAGTGATGGATGCCTAACCAAGTGAGCCACTCAGGTGCCCCTACTTTGATTCAAGTTTTGAGAAGTTATTTTAAAAATGAAATAACTCAGTTATATTAAGTGTAACTTGTATCTACTGATATGACTGTACTTCTGGAACTTTTCCCTCAATGTCATAGTTTCAAATATTCTGTCTGGTTGTCCTCCGAAGCCATCAGAACAACCCCAAAGTTCCAGTTTTCTTTTTTCTTTAAAAAAAATGTTTTTAAATGTTTATTTTTGAGAGAGAGAGAGAGAGAGAGAGAGCGAGCGCAGGCAAGGGGCAGAGAGAGGGAGACACAGAATCTGAAGCAGGCTCCAGGCTCTGAGCTGTCAGCACAGAGCCTGACGCGGGGCTTGAACTCACGAACCGCAAGATCGTGACCTGAGCCAAAGGTGGACACTTCACTGACTGAGCCACCCCGGCGCTCGCCCCAGAAGTCTCAGTTTTTCTGAATCCAACCTAACCTCTTCCCAGTGGCTTCTAGCTGAGCCGGGCAGTTCTCATTCCTGGTCTCTTACGAAGGTGAGGCCAAGGTGTCTGCTGAGCTGGAGAATTTTTCCAAACTTTGCATTTGTTGTCTCCAGAAATAACAAGTTTTCTAAAAACAGCCTCCGCTGGCCTTTCAGCAAGAAGAGATACAGTGAAGTCAAGAACACAGCGACTAAGGAGACCCAGGACTGGGCAGCTCAGCCAGAAATGTGAAACCGACTCATGTGATAGAAGAATGTGTCTTTCAGAGTACGGTTTACATTTCAGTGGCTTAAGTAATGACTTAAATGAAGCACATTGTGGTAAAACTGAGAATCAGAATGTCAGGAAACAAATCAACCTAGGAGATGATCCTATGTTTCATTCCATCAAATGATCGAATTTGATCCCCAAAGGCACCAGGGAAGAGAGAAGAGGAACACGGAGACATGGTGTTGGGTCAAAACCAACGTGACCCTCATTTTCTTTGGAAGACCTACCCCTCCCTATCTCCAGAAGTTAGTTCTCTCCTCTACCTGCTGACCTGGTTCATTTACTCACTCGAGCCCTCCAGCATGGCTCCTACCTCCTTTCCATCGCCTGGGGGTGGGGGTGGGGGTGCCCTCCCTGCCCCAGCCCTACTGCCTCTGAGCAGGATGGCTGTGAACTGCTTGAGCACCAGCAGCTCCGGGATGGACAACTTGCAGACCATCCCTGTGCCCTCAGCCACTGGCGGGGGCTCCTGGAGCCAGCTTAGAACCTGGTGAGGTTCAGGGCTTCCAGGTCTTAGAACTCTCTGAAGTGTGGACTGGCTGGCTTTCTGGGAAGCTGATTACCTGGCAGCCATGGTCTCTTTCCCCTATGACTGGTCCTCTGCTTCCACGTTCATGGTCAAAATCCTGTCCTGCTTCTGAAGGATCCGGGGGTGTTGGGACACAGCCCTCCTCACTGCTGTGGTCATTCTTGCCTGAAGAAGTCCTCAAGGAGGCTCGCTTATGCAGTGGGAGGGTTCGTTTCAGAGAAACTCTTCCTGAACGTCTTATTTCAGAAACTTTCTGAAACACAACAGAATGAACCAAAAACCCCTTGATTATGGTCCTTTTCAATATCACTACAGAGAATAAAAGAGTACAATGCACTCTCTGGCATCCCTCACTCAGTTTTCATTTCCTGCTGTTTTCTCCCCTCTGGCCACACAAGCGAATCTCAGACATCATTTCACCCGTAAAATCTGTTGTAGATGTCTCTAAGACACGTTTCCTTTTTAAAGCATAATCCTAACAGCCTTATCACAACTAAACTTTTTTTTTTAATTTTTTTTTAAATGTTTTATTTATTTCTAGGAGAGAGAGAGACAGCGTGAGCAGGGGAGGATCAGGGAGAGAGGGAGTCACAGACTGAAACAGGCTCCAGGCTCTGAGCTGGCAGTCAGCACAGAGCCCGACGCGGGGCTCGAACCCACGAACCGCGAGATCATGACCTAAGCGAAAGTCGGACGCTTAACCGACTAAGCCACCCAGGCGCCCCTCAACTAAACTTTTTAAACAGTAACTGGTTTCACCCATCAACGCTCACATTTCCCTGATTTTTAAAAATTGCACAATTGGTTATTAGACCCATGATCTGAAAACAGTTTACAGGGATGCTTTTGGCTGATTAATCTATAGGTCCACTTCCCTCGTTTAAAAAAAGAATAATTTTTTAAATATCTTGTAATTTGTTAGAAGTGCTTCAGCTGCCTGTTAGAACGAAGTGACACTTAAGAGACATTTGGGAGCCAGTTCTGTGCCAGGCACGGTGCTCCGTGATGTGGAGAGAGGCGTGAGCACACAGACAAGGGCCTGACCCTCTCTCTGGGGTAGATCACGGACTCTCTCTGGGCTTCGCCCCCCCGCCCCCCTTCTCTAGCAGAAGAGACCGGACTAACTGCTCCCTCGAGGCCCCGCTCTGATGCCGCTCTCATCGCTACCACCCACTGTGCCCACTGTGCTAGCCTCCGCACCACGCCTGCCAGCTACCTTCCCCGGAGCCGGGGCCGACACCCCGCCTTTCCCGGAAGCTGCCCTCCTGCCTGAGCTCCCGAAAGCCGAGGCAAAGCCATCTCTGTCGGAAGGGCGGGTCTGGCTGCGACTCCCGAGCGTTCTCCAACCGCGGGGGCGAGTAACTGTCGGAACTCCGACCTCAGCGCACTGGCCCGGCTCCCACCCAACTACAATTCCCAGAGGCCTCTTCGGCGAGCCGGTCACCGCGGAGACCGGCCGGGCTCGTGGGTTCTGCAACCGTCAGTGGCCTGGGCCTGAGGAACAGTCCCCACAGCTTCCAAACGGACAGGTCACGTGTCCCTGACACCCAGGCCTTGGTTCTGGGGTCCGAGGAGACGGGACCCTTACGCCTAACAGAGGCCACGGGAAGACGGAACTACATTTCCCAGAGGGTCCCGGGCGCACTCCGTTCTGGTTGCGCGGCACAGAACCAGTAACACCGACCTGTTGCTAAAGGAGACAAGTCCCGAGTATTTGGGCTCCTGAAGCCTGTGAAATGAGGAGCGAGACACAGAAAAGAGGGATAGAGGAGGAAAGGAGAATGGGAAATCTGGTTATGAAGCAACTGTAAGCAGCACATCCCCGTCTGTTTACCTTTTCCACGGACGCTCAGGGTCGAAGGGAGCATCGCACAGCCCTCCGGGAAATGCAGACGACGCTGCCCTAAGGACTATGGGAAATGTAGTCATTGATTAACTGTCACTCCCTTGAGCACCTGCGAAAAACCAGGCGCGCCGAAGATAGGGGATTAAACTCGCCGCCTTCTTTCTAGTCCACCCAAACACAAATTTTACTCCCTACGTTGTTACAGAACTTGTCCTGTTTTCGATGCTCTATTTCAGACACCCTGCATTTCCTAGACAACCTGCCCCCAGTCGTGTTCCCCTACGCGGCCACCGAAGTAATTGTCCCTATTCTGTTTAGGGCTCTTCAGCGGCTAATATAATCAAGTCCAGGCCCACGCTCCTTAACCGACATATACGTTTGACCTAACTAACTGCTTTGCGCTAGTTTCCTCATACATAAGAACCATTCTTTTTAGAGGGCACCTGGGTGGCTCAGTCTGTTTAGCCTCCAATTCTTGATTTCAGTTCACGTCATGATCCTAGGATCATAGGATCGAGTCCATTGTGGGAGCCTGCTTAAGATTCTTTCTCCTTCTGCCCTTCTCCCCTACTCACCCTCTCGCTCTCTCTCAAAAAAAGGACCATTCTATTTAAAATGTTCATCTAATTTGTGATTGATACTTTAAAACCATTGTCACTTTTTTTTTTTTAAGTTTACTTATATGTTTTGAGAGAGAGAGGGAGAGAGAATCCTAAGCAGGCTCTGAGCTGTTAGCGTGGAGCTGGACGCAAGGCGCGAACCCACGAACCATTAGACCATGACTTGAGCGGAAACCAAGAATTGGAGTTTTAACAGAGTCACCCAGGCACCCCATCACTGTATTTTTAATGCAAAGCACAACTTTCTGCTTTTAACCGTTGCACCCCCCCCAAAAAAGGGTGATAAATTCCAAGTATAGATTTGCAAAATATTCTTGAAATGTACTTGAAATAGGTTTCTTTAAGTAGAAACCAAGTCACTAAATACTGATAAAATTATAATTTTATTCCTCTGGACAAAATATTTCATTACATGATATGGGTAACACACATGTAGGTGTTTTCCAGGCTTCGTAAATTCAAACAAAAGAGGGAAGAAAGGATGGTTCTTGTATAAAGTGCTTGTCACAAAACTCCAGTTAGACAATAATGCAAAGTAAGTGAGTTATTTTTTTTAATGTTTTATTTACTTCTAGGAGAGAGAGAGAGAGAGACAGCGTGAGCAGGGGAGGGTCAGAGAGAGAGGGAGTCACAGACTGAAACAGGCTCCAGGCTTTGAGCTGGCAGTCAGCACAGAGCCCAACGCAGGGCTCGAACCCACGAACCGCGAGATCATGACCTAAGCAAAAGTCTGACGCTTAACCGACTAAGCCACCCAGGAGCCCCTAAGTGAGTTGTTTTTATTTTGCACTTTGAATGTCTAAGAGCTAGAATTCTGCTCCCATCCAAAGACCTGAGCCTTTGGGGGTGAATCTGTACTGAGGCTTTCAAGAAAGGAGGCATATTTTTAAAGCTATCAGAAAGCCTAGATAGGAATGAACCGTAGAGTGCAGGAAGACAGATGAGGTGTTGCTCACATCAAAGCACTGAGAACTTTCCTTTTGAAGTGGGAATACTTGGCAGACACAACATTTCCATTGGCTTTTAACTGGTAGGAAGAATGGCCAGTATCATAAATGTAGAGAATTATTTAACTGATAAAGCAGTTTTGAAGTCACATCAAAAATATGTAACCTGTTACTATTTCAAAAACAGTTTCCTCCCTCCTCACTAATTTAATGTCTTTGGGCTGGTTTTTAAAACAGGGAGTCGTCACTTGTTGCTTGAGGAAAGAATACATTTGTTGAGAAGGTATCAGCCAAAGCTAAGATATTCTCAACCATCAGGTGGGGAAAGCTAAAGTCAAGACCTAGACATAGAAGACATATTTCAGCATAATTTTCTTAAAATTTTTTTTAATGTTTATTTATTTTTGAGAGAGAGAGAAAGACAGAGTGCAAGCAGGGGAGGGGCAAATAGAAAGGGAGACACAGAATCCAAAGCAGGCTCCAGGCTCTGAGCTGTTAGCACAGAGTCTGACGTGGGTCTTGAACCCATAGAACTGTGAGATCATGACCTGAGCCGGAGCTGGACGCTTAACCAGTGAGCCATCCAACTTAACCAGTTGGGCCATTGGTGCCCCAATTCAGCATAATTTTCTTAAGTGTACAAGCAGATCTTTTTTTATGAGTATCTTTTTTAATGAGTATCTTTTTTAACTCATCTGTTTACATTAAAAAAATTTTTTTTAATGTTTTATTTATTTCTGAGAGAGAGAGACACAGCGTGAGCAGGCGAGGGTCAGAGAGAGAGGGAGACACAGAATCTGAAGCAGGCTCCAGGCTCTGAGCTGGCTGTCAGCACACAGCCTGACGCAGGGCTCAAACCCACGAACCATGAGATCATGACCTGAGCTGAAGTTGGATGCTCAACTGACTGAGCCACCCAGGCACTCCGTTTACATTTTTTAACTTTATTTTTTATTTAAAAGGTTTTTTTTTTTTGATGTTTTTATTTTTTTAATTAAAAAAATTTTTTTATGTCTTTATTTTGAGAGACAGAGACAGAGAGCAAGCAGGGGAGGGGCAGAGAGAGAGGGAGACACAGAATCTGAAGCAGGCTCCAGGCTCTGAGCTGTCAGGACCGAGCCCGATGCGGGGCTCGAACCCACGGACTGCAAGATCATGACCTGAGCCGAAGTTGGACTCTTAACCGACTGAGCCAGACAGGCGCCCAAAGTTTTTATTTATTTTTGAGACAGAAAGCATGAGCTGTGGAGGGGTAGAGAGAGAGGGAGATAAGAACTGAAGCGGGCTCCACACTGTCAGCACAGAGCCCAATGCGGGGCTTGAACTCATAAGCATTGAGATCATGGCCTGAGCTGAAGTCAGGCCCTTAGCTGACTGAGCCACCCAGGCAAACCTATTTATTTTTTTATTTTAGAGAGAAAGAGAGTGTGAGAGCATGTGAGTAGGGAGGGAGGGGCGGAGAGACAGAGAATCTCATCGTGGAGCCCGATGTGGGGCTTGATCCCACCACTCTGCAATCATGACTGCGTGGAAATCAAGAGTTGGACACTCAACCAACTCAGCCATCTAGGTGCCCGTGGACGCTTCTGTTTAAAGACACCATATTTAATATATGTTGTTGATTCATCCACATCGAACTTACAGCCAGCACTCATGCTGGGATGAGGCTTATCTAAAGCACTTGTTTTTCTCCGTAAGGCATGTCACATCCTTTCTGTGCTTAGGAACACTAGCCAGTACTTCCGCACCACATTTGGGGTCATTTTAAACAGCGAAACCACTAACGAATAGCACAAAAATGTGTCACGGTGCTAAACAGGCTGTGACAGGCACATTTGTTTATCGTATGACAGCTGGAACAAGAAGGCAGAGTGTGGCCTTGCTCAGCCTCAGCTGGAAATGCGTGTATCTGGGGGTTCACATTTTTTGCCACTCTGAGTATCAGTGAAAGCACTTTGAGGGCTGGTCTGGGGGTTACAAGTACGTTTCAGCCGGTAGGCAAGTTTGCGAATGTAGAACCCAGGAATGAGGATAAAGTGTACCTTTATTTGGCCTCACGTGTGGTCCAGGTGTCCCCATTATCTAGGAGGATGGGAGCATGGGATTTAGACCAATTACAGAAAATGCAGAATCTATAACTTGCCCCCGTATCTAAGGTGTAAAACTTAATTTTGGAACTCAACCGCACTATGATCTAGAGGAGCGGAAGGGCAGCTCTGTGAGTTCGGAGATTTGTACGTTTCACTCCTGCTGTCCATAGTCGGTGGCTAGAACAGCGTAACAGGACACATCAGTATTTGTTGAGTGAATTAAGGATTGTATCATTTGGTTCGGACAGTTTACAATTCCACAATTTTCATAACTTGATGTCTATGAAGAGGAAAGAAAAACACCTCAGTTTTCCAGCTCTGGGAGAGGTCTGGGGCAAAGGAATCAGAACTCAGTAACAGCATTTTCTCAACGGAACGAAGGACAGAGAACAAACGGTAGGAGTCAACTCCCTGGCTGACGGTACCGCAGAGCAGACAAGGAAAATCTCTTCCAAGGCCATGGGGAGGATGCATCAGCAGTTGGACAAGGTTTGAGATCTGCCTGGGAAATGACCTCACCCCCTCCATGATGTGGAAGAGTCCGGATGAAGGCTGGTCAGGTGATAATCGACATTTCTTCCCGGTCTCGGCTTTCAGACACTGAGTTGATGACGCTTTTTAAGTACTTTATGAACTCCATCCTGATCTCTTCGGGGTCGTCCTCAAGATTCGAGTGCAACAGCTTCAGCTTGTTCAAGGGGGGTGCTTAAAAAGGGAAACAACATAATGAGGCATGAGCTTTTAACCAGGTGCCATTTCTAGCTCCTGCTGAGCCGAGTCTTACAGAAGCCAATTGGTTTAGTTTTCTAGGGTCCAAAAATAAAGTTGTGTCTTTCCTGACATGATTTAACAGATGCAGGTTCAACCACGGGCTTCTGCTGATGCACTCAGCATAGTGCTTGGCATACAATGGATGCTCAATAAATAGTGCCACCACACTGCCACCTGGCCATAGACTAACAGCTCCACCGGCCACTTCCAGGTCCTCTTTGTTCTTACACCAGAAAGGAAGAGATTTCTGAACATCGTGAGTCATTTTCCATGAGCACTTTGTCACCTCTGTGGCAGTGTGTGTTACATACTAATAGGAGTTTTTCTGGAAAAAAGACCAGTCAGAAAAGAAGGTCCCTGGGACACCTGGGGGGCTCAGTCGGTTGAGTGTCTGACTTCGGCTCAGGTCATGATCTCATGTGAGTTTGGGCCCCGCGTCAGGCTCTGTGCTGACAGATCAGAGCCTGGAGCCTGCTTTGGATTCTGTGTTTCCCCCTCTCTCTGCCCCTCCCCTGCTCATGCTCTGTCTTTCTCTGTCTCTAAATAAAATTAAAAAAAAAAAAAGAAAGAATGTCCGTAATAGTACTGAGGAGTGGCTAAAACCAGGTTTCTTCCCCTCTTGGTGTCTGCCTGCTTTTAAAGTGTCTCTTTCCTGGCCTGGATGCTACAGCAGACAGGTCTTCCGACCAGGTGATTCTAGTTTACATGGCAGGAAAAACTAATGCCTAGGACACCGTAGGTGCCAAATAATTGTACGCAGCAGCTGGTTTCAAATGATCAGAATGTTCAAGACAAGAGTGGGAAGGAGAATTCCGGTGTGCTTACACAGAGACAGGCTCCCTTTATCACTTCCGGAGCCGGGTTTGTGGTGCGCGATTAACAGACACTGAGCATCCTGCAGGAGCTGCTGCTGGACGAAGCAGGAGTGCCACATGTCGATTTCCTTCAGGTGGCTCGGTGTGTCGGCATTGAAGACGATCACCACTCCGTGCGAGTCCTTCATCAGGGCTGGCCAGCAAGACTCGAACCTGCAAGGGATTCAGAGTAGATGTTAGGTGCTTCTGGCTTCCAACTGTTGGACTTTAAAAATAACATCTTGGGGTGCCCGGGTGGCTCAGTCAGGTTAGCGCCTGACTGCGGCTCATATCATGATCTCGCAATTCAGGAGTTCAAGCCCCATGTCGGGCCCTATGCTGACAGCTAAGAGCCTGGAGCCTGCTTCGGATTCCGTGTCTCCCCCTCTCTCTGCCCCTCCCCTGCTCACACTCTGTCTCTTAGAAATAAACATTAAAAAAATGTATAAAAATGTCTTAGTGTTAATTGACAGATGAACTCTCATTGTGTCATAACCCAATCCTTAAAGTTTTCAAATAATTGATCAAGCCCCTAATACATTCTAGGAAGTGTGCTGGGCCCTGGTCCAAGGTGCTTGGTGGGCAGCTGGGGTTTAGAGTCATTTGATGAAGCAAACCCTCTTGAAAGGAAACGTACATACTTGGGGTCACCGCCACAATCCCATAGCTCAAATTCACACGCCGTGCCTTTGTTGTTGCTGGTAACATGTGGGTTCTCAAATTCCAGGATCCTAATAAAACAAAAGCAGCACCTCTCCTTCGGACATGTTATACTCATGGCATTGCCACCATTAAGCATGGGGGGCGGCGATCTCGGGGAGACAGATTTGTCAGGGCTCACCTTACTCCTTGGGTCGGGTTGTATTCAGTGATGTCAGATGATTCTGTCAGGAAGTTGGCCAAAACGGTTTTTCCACTCTGTGGAAATGAAGATAAGAAAAGGGCCCCGCTGCAGAGCAGAGAAGTGAACCCTGAGTGGGCCCTCCAATAGCTGGCTTGGGGCCCAGTGTGATGGCTGCAATGGCATCACCAAGAAGGCTCTCTCTGGCTGGGAGGACCTCATTGCCTTTCTGTATGTGGTGGGTGTGGCCTGGTCCGGGACCTGGGGTCCTCATGCTCTCTCTGCCACCGGGTGACCTTACCCACACTGATTTCCCTGGCTGGCTCTCCGTTAACTTGTCTGAGAACAGAGAGGAGCTGTTAGTGTGAGTCTCTCTCCTGCCACGCTCCTCTCCACTTCAAGAAACCAGTCTGCCACAGATACGAAGCCAGAAAGGGGAAGGAAGTTCCTCAAGGTCACAGAGAAGTTCAAAGTCAGAGCTGCGTCCCAGTGGCTGGCCCTGCCACACTCTCACACAGGGCCGCTTCTCCTTCTAGATAATACGAGTCCTACACATTCCCAGTAACAAAACAGCCCTCCTGGGCCCTCCACCCCAAATACCCATCTGTCTGTCCCCTCTATTCCCTCCCCAAAGGTAATGACTATGATCTCTTTTCAGGTATTTTTGGTACATTTGTGCCATTCATTTGACAAATATTGTATATGCTTAGATATAAGATAAGGGATTTTTCTTCCCCCAAATTATTCGCCAGAAGGGAATCTCTTACACTTGAGTCCTTGTAAAAATCTCTGAAATTATGCCCTGCTCTCTCTCGAGTGTTTGATTTTGAACAACTGCTTAACTAGAACACTTTCGATCAATACCGGTTTTGGGGGCTTGTAGAGGTCACTTGAAAGAATCAGAGAGTGGGGGGCTTAATACTGTGCTAAGAATTTTTCCCGAGCCTATGGCCTCACAAATTAAATGTCACTTAAAAATAACATGGTTGAGTGGTCATGTTTGGGGAGATCATGAATATTTATAGGATAAACACTTATAGATGGTAGATAATGTCTACCATTAAGCAAATGGCCTGATATTATAGGAATGGTTCTTCCAGCTAGAATACATTTCCAGGAACAGGGTCCTACTCAGATTCAAAAGTACTTATGTCCTAAACTACTCAGATAATGTGCTTTGTCATTGTCGTTTAAAAGTGGCTCTAGTCATAAACTTAACTTGGGTGTCAAAGGTGCAGGAGAGGGGCTTGAATTTTTTTGGGGGGGGGTGACTTGAATTTTAAAACTGTGTCATGAGGGGCACCTGGATGGCTCAGTTGGTGAAGCATCCAACTCTTGGTTTTCGCTCAGGTCTATCTCATGGTTCATGAGTTCAAGCCCCAAGTGGGGCTCTGCGCTTGGGATTTTCTCTCTCTCTCTGCCCCTCCTCTGCACATGGTGAATGCTCTCTCCCTCTCTCTCAAAATGGATACATAAAACTAAAAAAACAAAAAAAAAAAACTATCATGAAATGCAACTATGGAATAAAACAGCATTTCCAAATTAATATATATCTTAATGTTCCTTTAAATGTATACATAAAACATTCTAAAAGTGTATTGATATATTTCATCTATGCCCTTAAAGTTTAAACATATATGTCAGGCAAAACCAATTGATTGAGGGGAAGGGTTCTTCTGGGAAAATGAAGAAGCTGCCTGTGAAGTACTTAAGGGATTAAGTGTCTACCTTGCCAGGTGCTGTTGAACACATACGATAAAGTAGTCCTAAGGACTATGATAAAAATCAAACAGGATAGGGGTGCCTGAGTGGCTCAGTCAGTTACGTCCCTGACTCTTGGTTTCAGTTCAGGGCATGATCTCAGGGTTTGTGGGTTTGAGCCCCACATCAGGCTCCATGACGGCAGCCTGCATAGGATTCTCTCTCATTCCCCCCCCCACCCGACCCTCCCCACTCACTCTCTCAAAAGAGATAAGCTTTGAAAAAAAATTAAAAATCAAACAGGATAATGCCATGGGGACTTTGAACTGGGTGGTCAAGGAAGGCTGGAATGGGTGAAGTTTACTTTTTTATTTATTATTTTTTAAAATGTTCATTTATTTTTGAAAGAGAGAGACAGAGTATGAGCGGGGCAGGGGCAGAGAGAGACACAGAATCCAAAGCAGGCTCCAGGCTCTGAGCTGTCAGCACAGAGCCTGACGCGGGCTCAGACCCATGAACTGTGAGATCATAACCTGAGCTGAAGTCAGAGGCTTAGCCCACCCAGGCGGTCCTGAATGGGGAAAGTTTAAACTGAGATTTGAATGACAAGCAGTCAACCGAGGCTTCCAAGGAGAGAAAATAACTAGATGGATGACACCAAGCAGGAATGGGCGCAGCATGTTAAAGGACTAGAAAGGTTCGCAAATCTGCAGAGTATTGGGGTAGAGAGGGATGTGCCTATGTGGATATATACTTTGTGGTTGAAGCTGGGTGATGAGTACCAGGAGCTCATTGTTTTTTCTCCCTTTGTATATATTTGAGAATTTCCAATTAAAAAAAAATAGAAGATATATATGCTTGGTTTACTTTTCATAATTCTGTGCATATTGTGATTACTTGTCTATTTCACTCACTAGCTTATGTCTTGGTGACTTCTCTATGTCACTCCACACAGATTTGCCTCCTTTTAACTGCTGGAGTCTTCCCCAGTAAGAAGTCCCTTAGTTTATTTAGAACTAAATAGGCACCTAGGGTGTTTCCAACTGTTCAATACCGTACATGGCCTCTGGGGAACATAAGTAGGTAGACAGGGGAAGGGAACATAGCTACTGTAGGTTTTGAGAAATGTAATTGCTGCACTAATAACTATGCACATTTGTTTTTATTTTTTATTAAAAAAATTTTTTAATGTTTCATTTATTTCTGAGAGAGAGAGACAGCATGAGCGGGGGAGGGTCAGAGAGAGAGGGAGACACAGAATCCAAAACAGGCTCTAGGCTCTGAGCTAGCTGTCAGCGCAGAGCCCAATGCGGGGCTCGAACCCACGAATCGTGAGATCATGACCTGAGCAGAAGTTGGACACTTAGCCGATTGAGCCACTCAGGCACCCCTTATGCACATTTATTTTAAATGTGTTTGTTTTTGAGAGAGAGACAGAGTGCAAGCTGGGGAGAGGCAGAGAGGGAGGGAGACAGAATCTGAAGAAGGCTCCAAGCTTCAGCTGACAGCACAGAGCCCCCATGTGGGGCTCGAACCCGTGAACCAGGAGTTCATGACCTGAGCCAAAGTCGAACACTTAACCAACTGAGCCACTCAGGTGCCCTGCAAGCTAAGCACATTTTAAGGTTTAATAATTGGATTGCCAAAAAAGCTGTTATCAAGGCCCCGTCAACGGAATCCTAAAGTACTCATTTCCCTACAAGCATCCTCATGCTTCATGTTACCAGTGTTCTAACCTTTTTTATTCCGCACCAACGGGGGGCAAATTAGAGTCATCTTCTTGTTTTAATTTGTGCTCTTGTTGACCGTGAGGCTGAATAGCTCTTATACTTATTGGCCAGCTGTACTTGTGTGCACAGACTTTGCTCGATTTTCTATTGAGTTCTCGTTACTGATTTGGAAACTTCCCTCTGCTTTCTACCTATTCTTTCTTTGTAATGTATTTTGCAGATACTCTCCCCAGGGTTAACTTCGTTGTCATTTCTTTTAAGGCTTCCTCATTTTTGTGTTGTGCTTGAGGTGACTTTCCTTGTCTCAAGATGAATAACATCTCTCCGAATACGCACATACTACAGTGATTTTCAACGTGGAGTCCCTGGACGAACAGTGTCAGTAAAAGGCAGATTCTGAGACCCCTCCCACACCCACTGAATCAAAACAGTGGGACAGGACTGGCCAATTGTGATGCGTGCAGGAGATGGTGAATATTCACTATTTCCACGTTGTTGTTGTTTTCCACATTTAGCTTTAGTTCAAGGGAATCTTATTCCTGTGTTTGACGTCCAAACGTAGATTTAATTCCTACTACCACTACCATACACACACTATGAGCGAACGGTTCAAAGACCATGTAACAGACTTTCCTCTCTCTACGTTTCTTGTCCCACAGGCATGTTCCTTAGGGCCAATCTCACTGGCAAAGGACAGTCGTGGGACCTAGACTCCGCTTCCAAAATGCTACTCACGACTTTCAGGCCTCACGAAAACGGGGTCAATGTCTGGGGACGCCGAGCTCCCACTGAGGCCAGCGGCGCATACCGGGTGGGCGCGGTGCGACAGGGATCCCGCCTCCTGGGGGGCTCCCGGCGCCAGGCACTGCCCGGGGTCGTCACCGCGCCCGCCGGGGCCCCGCCCGCCGCCCCCGCCGGCCTGGCCTCACCTCGCAGGGCCCCACGAACAGGATCTTGGCCTTCAGCATCGCGGTCGGTCGGAGTCCTCGGCTGCGCGGAGGAGCGGAAGCCGCCGCGCCGATTGGCTGCCTTCGTTTCCACGGCGACGGGAGCGGCCCGCGGGGGCCGACGGGAGTGGGCGTGTCCGCGGCGCTAGCCGCCGGGCGCGCGGAAGGGCTGGTTGAAAGGCTTGCGCCACAGGCCTCGCTCTGTGCTGCTAGTGGGCATGCAAGGCTACGCGGAGGATGGAAGGGAAACAAAAAACTTGGATCCAGATTCCCTTCTAAGCCGGGAGGACCGCAGAGCTCTCACGTCCCGTCGCTCTCTTTATAGGGAGGCGGCTGGTTTCAGGGGCCCCGATGGGTGTTCCTCTCTGGGACCCCGCGAACCCAGACTGGCCATGTAACTGGTGAACTGGTGTTGGGTAGGACCAGGCCTCCTGACGCCTTTATCATTCTGGCATGATACTGTCCACATTGTGATCACGGCCCTGGCCCAGTCTAGGGAAAGTCCGAGGGAAAAAACGGAGTCTTTGGTTTCTGAATGGATTCACCAACTCACCGTCCTTTGGGTGATCTGGGAGAAAGCAAAAGGACAATGGCCGGCGTTGTTCAGTGTCCGTGCAGATGTCTGGACGCGCTACTGCAAAATTCAGTCATTAGGTCAGACTTAAATTGCGGAGCCGATCCAGAATTTCAGGTGAGGCCATGAAAATGTCTATGTGTCCAGAGTGCCGATTCAAGATTTGCTAGCCCGAAAAAGTGCTGGCTTGACAAAAATACCAAAAGTAAACCCAACACCACCTCTTTAGCTTTTAGTAGGATAGTACATGGTCTTTTTATTACAAAGAACTGCTGAGTGAAGTGTAAGGTAGAGTGCATCTCAATTGCAGGATGTCATGAATTGATGGATTGATTTAACGAATACCTTTTGAATGCCTACTTCATACCACGCACTCTTCCAGGAATTGGGGATATACCTGTACCCCTTGAAGCTTTCATTCCGGTGGAATAGATGGACATTAAATAAGTGAGAAGATAAGTACCATATTCTCAGGCAGAGACAATTTTAGTTAGTGGTAAGTGCTATGAAAAAAAAGATAAATTACTAAAGAGTTAAGGAGTATGAAGGAACCAATTTTGGATGGAATAGTCAAGGCAAGTTCTTGGTCCAGAGCTGACATTAACGCAGAACGCTGAGTGAGGGAGGAGGGGAGGGGCTCAAGGAAGCCATGTGAGAGATCTCAAGATCTCCGGGAAGAGCATGTCAGCCAAAGAGCAAGGGCAAAGACGTTGAGGCAGCAATGAACTTGGCATGTACCAAAAACAGCCCAGAGGGTCTATGAGGCTGGTGCAGGAAGACTAAGAGAGAATGGTAGGGTATGCCGTTGGAGAGATCTTGTAAGACTGGGAATTTTTCTAAAAGCATTGAGAAGCTTGTGCCAGAAATTGTATCTGGCTACTTGCAATAGAAACTTGATCCCTTCTCCCTTCCTGTCCTGACATCTTTGACATGGCTGGTCTGTCTGTGGGTACTTGCTTTCCAGTCAGGAACAAAGGAAAACAGGGTCAAAACACATATGGCTTTACATTCTCCCTTTTTCTCAGGAAAACAGTGGCTTTCTCAGAATCCCTATCCAGTGATTTCTCCTTATGTCTCATTGGCTAGAACTGGATCACGTGGCCTCCCTAACTTCAAGGGAATCTGGGAACCATAGATTCTAGTTTTGCACATTACTTTTCCCAAGAAGCAGGCGTGGGGGAGGGGAAGGTCGATGATTGCTAGGAAACGAGCTAGTTGAAAAGTCAGTACGGCGTGTTTTGAGCAGGGAATTGGCCTGATCTGACTTAAGATTTTTAAAGTGAGCCATCGTTGCTGAGCATCTGGAACAAAGGGGACAAAAGTGAACCTACAGATGGCAGTTTGGAGGGTGCCGGTCAGCTTAGAGAGGGATGCCGGTGCAGCAGTTGAAGCTAGATCAGAGACATAGTGTGAAGGTGGGGCCCGCAGCAGTTGCTGATGGATCCCATGCCCGGGGGAGGGAAGGAGGAGGTAAGGATGACTCCCAGGATGTTGGCTTCTATGGTTTTGTGAATGTTTTGCCATTTCCAGACTTGAGAAGGCTGGGGAAGCAACAGGCTTAGGGGTGGGAGATAAAGAGTCCTGTTTTGGTTCTGTTAGTTATGAGAGACTTGTTTGATGTTAAGGGCAAAATGGACTAAGATTCTGTACATGATGGGAGAGGTCAGGGCTATAAACCGGAGGAGATATCAGCATATGAGGTGCCTTTAAAGCACCTTTAAAGCACAGACTGGATGGGAATGAGTAAGGATAACTACAGGCAAGGGCACCTGGGTCGCTTAGTTGGTTAAGCGTCCGACTTCAGCTCAGGTCATGATCTCACGGTTCATGGGTTCGGGCTCTGTGCTAACAGCCAGCTCACAGCCTGGAGCCCATTTCAGATTCTGTGTCTCCTTCTCTCTCTGACCCTCCCCTGCTCATGCTGTCTCTTTCTCTCTCAGAAATAAAGAAAACATTAAAAATATTAAAAAAAAAACCCATATGTCCACACATATATGTAGTTTTGTAACAATGGCTAAATATGATCATGCACTTGCTCTCTTTTGGTGAAATCTCTCTTTTCCTCTCTTTTTTTTCCTTTGGCTTGGTGCCCTTACCTCACCCTTGACCTCTCCTCTTCCCTCTTTATCTTTATCTTGTAGTTTTTGTTCCAGTGAAGAGTTAAGGAGTAAACTCCCAGCAAGGAGTCTCTTATAACAACCTGGGGTGTGTCCTTCAGTATTTTTCTTCACACGTTTAAACACTCCCATTCAGCATAGCTCGATGTGCATATTGGTCTGTAACAGGCTGCTAAGACATGACTATCCCAGTTTTGGCAGAGGCTGTAAAGGCTGACAATAGGTTTTAAGTGTGTTCCAGATTTTAGTTCATTTCTGGAGAACCTAGCACATCACCTGGAAATTATCAAAGAGCTAAGAGAGAGAGAGAGAGAGAGAATTTCTTTGGAGAGCATGCTGTTTGCTCACCTTGGTCAAGTGACAGATGCAGCTTCAGAGAACCTGTGTCCCCTGGAATTGGGGTGTGGGGAGCCATGGCATCTAGTCCAAGGCAAGAGGGTAGGGAAAGAAAGAGGAGGCATTGGGAATTACAAAGGATATGGGAAATTTTCCTGGGGACCTGAGGTGGGAAAGAGTTGACCTTGAGTCATTTTGGATCTTGCCTGTGAGAACCCCCTGGGAGGTGGGCTACTGGATGCCTGAAGGGAGGACACAGTCAGAGCCTTCATGTCCCAGGACCCCCCCAAAGCTCTCCAGTGGGTAACACATTCGCATGCGACATCTGCTACTTCCAGAGGGCACCAGTGCTGGATTATATCTCACCGTTACCTGGGATTGACTAATAAGTTCTGGAAAGTGCCTGAGATATCATCTAAGGGGGGGGTGGGAAGAATGAATTAGTCTAAGGAGAGAGCTTGAAGGAAACAGCAGCGAGAAAGAATAAAGTTGCTTGAATAAATAAGTATTATCAAGTTTGGCTCATTTGAGGCACTAGTTTATCACACACACACACAGTATTTGGGAGGGCATTGTTTTACAAAAATGGGATCCCATCCTAAGTCGTATTCCATATTTTGTTTTCTTTATTCAACAATATCTTGCAGAAATTGCTCAGTCATTTGTTGTAGTTCTATTATATATATATATTTTTAAAGGTTGTAGGCTATTTCAGGGCCTGAAACTGAATTTACCACAGTTAGTCTGATGTGTTCTTAATGGGCATTCAACATGGTTCCACTTTAAGGACACTAAAAACATTCCTGCAATAATGATTTTGAATGTATGGCTTTACAGACTGGTACTCTCACTTCTATGGAATCTATGGAACAGAAAGGATTGCAGGGTTAAGGGAAATGTGTATTTAATTTTTTTTGAGAGTTTTTTTGTTTTTTGAGAGAGAGATAAAAAAAAAGAGAGAGAGGGACAACCCTGGGATCATGAGCTGAGCTGAAATCAAGAGTCAGATGTTCAACCAACTGAGTCACCCAGGCACCCCAGATATGTGTATTTTATTTGATTTTTAATTTAATTTAACTTTATTTTATTTTATTCATTTAAAAAAATATTTATTTATATCGTGGGGGAGGGGCAGAGAGTGAGAATCCCAAGGCTCCACTGCTTGGATTACAGAAGCCTCACATAGGAGTCGAACCCATGAATCATGAGATGATGGCCTGAGCTGAAATCAAGAGTCAGATGCTTAACTGACTGAGCCACCTAGGCTCCCAGGGATATATGTATTTTAGATAGTAACAGCTGTTGCCAGATTACCTGGCCACTTGGTTTAGTGCTTAATGTTCCTCCAGTATTGATTTTTGTCAATAATACGTATTGTCATGAGAGTTGGTAATCTTGACAAGTGGTCCCAGTGGAGTGACGAAGAAGAAAACAGGACCAGAGTAGGTTAAAAAGAGAATTGGATGTCTAATGGTTACCATCGTGATGTAACAATTTACTCCAAAATGTAGCGGCTTAAAATAATAGACATTCATATCTCACAATTTCTGTGGATCCAAATCTGAGCCTGACCCAGTAGTGCCTCTGTCTTGGGATTTCTCACTGTGCATCATTCAAGATGGTGGCTGGGGCTGCAGCCACCTCAAGGCTTGATGGGGGTATGGGTAGAGATTCACTTCTAAGACCACTTAATTGGCTATTGGCAGGATCCAGTGCCTGTGGACTGTTGGTCTGAGAGCCTCAGCTCCTTATTGACTGTTGCCAGAGACCTCCCTCCCTTACTTGTTATGTGGGTTTCTCCATAGGGTGGCTTTTAATATGACAGCTGGCTTCTCTGAGAGTGAGCAAGTGAGAGAATAAGAGAGGGTAGGTGAGAGGGAAGCCACAGTCCCTTTATAACCTAAGCCTATAACTGATATCCTGTCACATTTTCTGTATTTTATTCCTTAGAAGCAAATCACTAAGTCCAGCCTACACTCAAATGGCAGGAATTACATAAGGGTGTGAATACCAAGATGTATGTATCATTTGGGGCCATCTTAGAGGCTGCCTGTGACAGGAGGTGAGTGTAAGATGCTGATTCTAAAAC